CATCACTTTTTCCTTTCTTTTGATCAGTCTTATTTGCCGATGGTGGACGATTTTCATCTGAAGCAAAACTTTTCATAGATACATCGTTATTAAAATATATTTACCACCAGATTCAGTTCGATGACGTTTATCCTTAAAAACTAAAATATTCTGATATGTTAGAATTACATAATATTTACTGTAGTTTTTCCTGTGATTGATTTTCGACGTTTAGTCTGATCTAATGTACGTTTTAAATCAGTACGATTATCACGACCTGATTTACTTTTTGTTGATACAATCGAAAGAGTTGGTGATGGAGCCTTAAGTGAAAACATTATTATCGAATTTCGAATAATAATTATTCCTTACATTATTTCTTATTTCATCTAAATGTCTTTCATCATAACGATTAGATAATAAATGTCTTCGTTGAATTATTTCTTCTTCTGTAAGAACAATTTTTCGTAAAACCTGTAAAATAATTAATTAATATTTATGGATAAACTATTTCTGACTATATTTGATATAATATCAAAAAACAATTTTCTATCAAATAAAGTCAATAGACAATAAAAAGAAAAAAGGAATTCATGAGGAATACAAGATATAAAACCTACCCTATTTAAATCTAAATAAATATAGTTATTCTCTTTAAAATCAAAATTTAATAAATTACTTACTAATGCTATAGCACAAGCACCTCTATCGGTGATAAAATTCGATGAAAGATTGAGAGAAATTAATGTACGATTATAACGTAAGGCCTCAAAATAATCGATGTTATTTAATTGAATAAAGTCATTATCTTTTTTTTTTTTATACTTTTGCAAATGATTTTGCACCATTATCACCAAGTTGATTACCGGATAAAGTTAAGGTTAATAATTTCCAATTTTGAACTGACATATTTCCAAGAACATGAGCAAGACGTTCAGCACCTTTATCAGTTATTTTACAAAAACGAAGAGAAAGATGAGCAATTCTATAGAAATTAAATTATAATATTATTGAAGAAAAATGAAATATAGATTTTACTTTAAAGTATCCTTTTCAATTAATATATGAAAATGTTCTGCAGCTAATGGATTTCCATCAAGCGAGACAGTTCTGTACATAAGAAATCAATAAATAATTTTAATCTTTTAACTTTTCTACTTTAAATTTTTGATTGATTGACAAACTTCAGTGAAACCATAAATAGTTTGTTCATTCAAACCAACAAAACAAAAACTATTTGTAAAATAATATAGATATATATACAAAGCACAAACGATGAAATATACTTGAGAGTATGTAATTGTTCTTGTAATGGAAGAATCTTTTTCAAAATATCAATAAAACGTTGATCAAGTTGCCAAGCTAACAAGAAGAACAACGATTAATTTAATCCTTAAGAGCTCAATGTCTCTTCCAAGGGACATTAGAATAATTTCAATAAATTCCACTAGAAGAGCTTATATACAAAAACCAACATTTTTCTGAACCGACAATGACCTTAGTAATCATACAGAGATGAAAATCTAAATTCTCAAGTGACTCTTAAGCGGAAGAATGAATCTTTTACGACTCATAATTTTTTTAGCACCACTTTTCTTTTCTGAAGTTTTTATTATTCATATAAGCGACGTGCCGCTTTGGTTTTTTTTTAAGTGATATTGTTAAATATAGTGTTAAGGTATCTGATGAAATCATCTCGTAAATTTTAAACCATTCCATTCACGCAGGACACTATCATAAAGAAAATATTCCTTCTTTGGGATATTTCGCTTCAAGAAAAAGTCGAAATAAAGGGATTTTGACTTGAAATTTTGGTCATAAATAGCTGATACGCTATTTAGATTATCTTGAAATTTTCAGCAACAACTATTGTTTACTCTTGGAAATACGACATGTTGAATCGAAGTCGAATTTTATGAGTTTTTTGCAAAATGTTGCCGATTTTTTTCTGCGTCCAATATCTCAACAACAAAGCATCCGTTTTGACTGAAAATTTCAGAACAATTTGAGGATCATATAAACAGATTAAGGACGATATTTCAGATCGAAATTATTTTCTTTCAGGTTTTTTGAAGGTCCAAGATTTCTGCTAAAGAACGTTGTGTAACTCTAGAGGAAGAACAAGGTACTTTGTTTTAGCTATAGTATGAGCATACTGAGAGCCTATCAGCTCTATTTTTATGGTTGTCTTCCTTCTGTTGCAAGAAAAACCCCCTCGGGCTTTTAAGGATTAATAAACTACTAAACTAAATTTAAACAAATACCTTTCATATAAAGAGCATTTATTTGATCAATTGGTTCATTTTCATTACCGATTGAATCTACTAATAATTTTGGATGAAAGAAATCACTATCACGTATTAGATGAAATGTCGTATAATGTGATGAAGACGATTTCGATGGTTCTTGACCTGTTACATATTTAAAAGTTTCGTTTAGTATATATTTTAGTTACCTGGAATACTAGATGATTTATTATCATTATCAACACCTGCCAAAATTCCACTCTGGCTAATAGAAGGAATTCTTCCACGTGATAATCGCTTCAATTGAGATGACATCTGTTCTTCAGCAATACCACCAACAAGCGATGGAGTAACTGATACTCCTGAATGGGTACCTGATTGTTGTGAAACGGAAGGAATCTGTGATGATGGCGGTGGGTGACCACGAATGTACACAGGAATATTTACAGGATAACCTGAAGATGGTTCACGACAACAAAATTCTAAATCAACAGCAAATCGACCAACACATTGCTGATTTTCTATAGAGAATATCAAGTCTATATGAGAAAAAAAACGAAAATGAAATGTAATAACCTTGATCTTCTGTTGCTGCCAGAGCAACTTGAGATTGTCTACGGCTTTTACTTGTATTGTCTGCTTTTTTTGGACCCATCACATATAATTAAGATTCAAAAATCAATACAGAAGTCTGGAAACTGTATGGTTTCGATACCATATCAATTTTGATCCACATCGAAACACCCTCATCTCACGAAATTCGAACACGAATAATATAACAGATGGCGCTCAGTTGTGGATTAAACATTTGATTTATTTATTTATTTTTTATTTTAAATAACTTTTAAAATAGTTAACATGAACTCATTTTTATCAAATTTCAGTTATATTCGATTTTTTCAATTATCGAATTTTCTATTATTCAACAATTTAATTTTAGTTTCGTATTGATACTTTATTTTAATCAAGCATTTGTGAACTTAGTTTATTAATTTTCTTAATTGTATCTGCTTCTTTGATTTACTACGCTGAACAGTGGTCTTTTTCTCGTCTATTTCCTATTCTACTTCTGTCGGAGTATTGATTTTGTAGCGAAGACTTTTTTGATGATATATACTACAGCACTCACTTTCTGACATCATCAATGCAGCACTTTCAACGAGCGATCGAGAAAATTTTTACCATAGAAGCCAATCATTACCTTGAAAAATATGTAACAACTCCCTCCAGAGTTCTTTACACTAGTCTGCAGACGGTTTAAAATCATGCTTGAAATATTATGTACTAAGCAGATCAAATATACTAGTGTCGAGTTCTTTTACAATTTTGTTGATCGTTTATTTTCACTGTTAAACCAAAAAAAACACTTGTTCCGATATGAACAACAGGCTTTGCCATTCTGTGACCTATCTGGAAAATGGTCGAGACAGAAATCGAAAGAATAGTTAACTTAACGACCGCTAGAGTTTTCAACAGGATTGTCGAGAGAAGTGAATTCTGATAGAGTCAGTATTTGACAAGTAGTTCTGACAGTTACCATAGCTGAAGCATTATGTTGTAATTTTTAAGTGCTTCTTCATTATTATGTCGAGACTGTTCTTGATTGGAGAAAATTTACGTTTTACGTTAATTTGATCAGACACATGACTGAAGTAGGTGTTGAATCAAATAGAAATGTTGTTCCATTGTACGCAAACATTTGACTGTACTCTTTAAATAGGAAGTGAGGTTTCATGATTCATACTGTTTGATATTTTGAAGCATGAACAATAAGCGGTATTTCAGCATGCATGGAATGAATAAAATAAAATATCCGTCAAGGAACAATCATGCATCATAAGTAGATTTCATACAACCTGCAACAAAAGAAGTGAACACATAGAAAACGGTAGTTATGAACAAGACAAATGGATCTATGATAAGAAGAGTCTATTCCTGAAATTGTTCACATAATAGGTGTTGATAAGTTTAACGAGATTCAACGATGAACCCTTGCTGAGTATTTGTTCTGAAGATGATCAAGGGCGAGATTAGAGTGATGAAAAATGGAAATGAAATAATGAAAGAGATGAGTGGGCGAATGAAAGTGTTGAAAACTAGACAACTAAGTGACAATGCATCGAATTCATTTTTCTTTATGATCTCATCAGCACAAAAAGACGATGGGGATGTGAATTTATGTCAAGTAAAGTTGTTCTTTTCACTCACACACACACACTACTCGCCTGTGATAACGGTGCCTTATTTACGACAATTTTTTATTATACAATATAGAGAAGCACTTTCAGGGATTTTGACAAGCCCAAACTGAACTGAATTTGAAATAATACAATTTGATTCGTTGCAGTTAAACTACATTGTCACTCATATAAGCTATGTTGAGTAAGATATAAACGTCATTCATGAATCTGTTGACATTCTTCTTACATGACAAGTCGAATGAGAGTATCGTATTAATGAAAAAAAAAGAATAACCTTGAGATTTCGATTGTGTTATACTCCTGATGATTTGTATGTCATCACAGTGGAAATTTTTCGATAACAAATTTTAAATTAAGTAAGAAATAAAATGACAGTGACAGAGATAGGGAGGAAGCCGTTCTCTTTTTCTTCTGTCTATTTACCAATCATCATGACGATAGAAAAACAAGAATTTCATAATTTTGAAAAAGACATTACGAAATTATGAAAACAAAAATCTAGATTACAAGATTTTTCCTTTTTGTTTTTTTTTTGCAGAACAAGTACTCACGCTACAAGAAAAAAATTGAAATTATGAAGTTAGAATCATTAGCTAATGAACTTATACTCGAACTATTCGAGTTTTTCAATGCTATTCAACTCCTTCGTGCATTTCATGGTCTGAACTTTCGCTTTGATACACTTCTCGATGTACATTTTCGAGATTATAGTCTTGATTTTCGATCTGTCTCCAAACGTGACTTTGACCTATTCTGTCAACAACAGCTTCCATCACTCATCGATCGAGTTACTTCAATTTGTCTATCAGATGATGATGAAACTCCAAATATATCCAACCATTTCCTGTCTTACAGTTTAACGATGAACATGTTCACTAATTTACGTTCACTTGCACTTTATGGCCTTCCTTATATAGTTATTGTACAAAAGTTCATATTGGATTGTCGTAATCTTCCATGTTTTACTCATTTGAAAGTGACCGAATGTCGTTTTGAAGTTCACGCGGCATTTATTTATTTCATCAACAATGTATGGCATCTAACCAAACTTACTCATTGTCATGTTGAAAACATTTTCGAACCTAATATTCGTCTTGTCGCACCAAAAGTGCCCTCGTTATCGATCAAGCATCTTTCAATCATGATTACAACATGTCAATTGAATGCGTTAGCTCATTTACTCGAAAAAACACCTAATCTTCGACGACTTAATGTCAATATTACGTCTAATGGTAACGGTGATGATGATAAACAAATGCAAGTGGTTCATTCAACGATCACTACCCTGACACTCTTGTTTCATCCTTCGATAGAAAAAATGCAAAATTTATTTCGAATAGTGCCCAATTTATTTCATTTAACAATCAATACAACGAGCATTTACTTGAATGGACATCAATGGAAACAGATCATTGTCAATCAACTTCGAAAGCTAAAAATCTTTCGATTTCAAATGACATTTTCTTTTCCTGACAACAATACCAACAACAACAATATAGAAGAACAAATAGATCTACTACTGGATACATTTCGAACTCCCTTTTGGCTCAATGAACATGGCTGGTTTGTTCGATGTGATTGGAATGCACAAACCATTGATAATATATCTCTCTATACTGTACCTTATGCTTTTGATGTACTCTCTATTCATCATTCTAAACGATCAAAATGGACTTGTCCAAATGATAACAACTATTGGTCTTATAATTATGTGAAGAACTTTTGGTATGAAAATGATTTATTTCAAGATTTGAATCTCTTTCCTGCCCATTTCCCCAATATTCACCATTTACGATTACGACTTCCCGTTAACAATAATTTCTGGTTTGTCATTCCTACATTGCGTAAACTAATTTCACTCAATCTTTCATTGCGTCAAAGTCGGACTATAACTCAAATAAATGCTTTATTTGATCTAATACCTAATGTTTATTCATTGACTATTGAGCCGTCATTATTTTCACGAATAGCAACATTAAAAACAATCAATAAATCAATTCGTCGATTGAATCTTTTTGATCTTTCTGGATCCTATTTTGATAGTGTTCAATGTTCACTCTTGGCTGATTCATTACTTGGATGTCAATGTGAAGTTCTTATTATTGGTGTTGAACATCGAACAAATGCATACTTTTTGATCACTCACATGCCCAATCTTAGAGTGTTGATATTTCGATGTCGAGATGATAAGTGGCATGAGAATAGATCGTCGTCCACGAGAGATGAGCTTCTTAGTTGGTTAAAGAACCGATTGCCATCTACATGTTCGATCAGCAAAAACGAAAAAGCTCCTTTCAAAATTCGAGTATGGATTGGCTAAATAGTCAACAGTATAATGGGTTACCCGAAATTTGCTCATATGACTTTCGCCAACACAACCCCTAGAATTTCGCTAACATTGCAGTAAAATAACTGTAAATGGAAAGTTTTCACCGGCTACATCATGAGGTTTTATTCGTCTATGTTGTGACCATAAGTTTCATGTATCGTTCTAGATTTTTTTTTGGAATAAAGTCTGTCACAAATTGGGATGCCACATTATGAGCTCGGACTGATGCTGAAGCAATATAGCCATTGAGTCAAACAATCTTATCTTATTCTCCAAATCTTTAATGCCTTTAATTTTTTTTCAGCGTAAGACAACCGTTTTTCTCAACCTATTGTTCAGCCGCATCCAAACTTGTGGGAATTCGTTCAATGTCTAAAGCAAAAAAAGCAGCTCGTAAAACTAAACATATTGAAAAATTGATGCGCTTCTTGTAGTCTAATATAAGATCATTAGCTAATACAACCAAGTCTCTTGTTCATCTTATTGGCAAGCCTAGTTTTCTTACACGAAAAGCAAAGCAAAAAAAAAATAATGATTCCAAATCAAACTTGTCAGATTCATCCTCGAATGAACATTAGGCTATGCATTTTATGTTTTTTTTTGTCATATTAATCTCGCTTATTTTAAAATAAAAACATGACTCTTTCATATTCGAATACGCTCTGCATATAAGCTATGATATGTATGTATTTTTCTAACAGCATCAGCTTCAGCCCTTATTTGTATTCAATATTAATATGTTTTCGTCATAGATGACGAAAGTCCTATTGATGAAAGTCTTTTTCGCGAAACTCCTGAACCCCACTATAAGCCCACTATTAAAAGACAGTGTCTACTAGTAACTCGCTGATCAAGCTGATGTTATTCTAACGAGTAGGATCCGATAAAACTAATAAAATCTCAAATCAATGCATTCGTACATGATACTTTTTTCAAATGACAAACGTTTTAATTATTACTGTTTCAAAATTTGTATACGAATACTATAAGCTGCTCTCTGAAGTTTTCAACAACATTCAGATTTTCAGAAACACAGAATCGTTAGGTATATGTCTCTCAAGCATTATAAAGCTTCATAATCTCGTGATCACAGAAGTCATCTTGCCCCTTTAGTAAGTCTCTTTCGTTTCGAGCTTGAACACTTAGAATATTTACCCTTCATATAATACAGGTGCTTTCGGATAAGTACTTCACTGTCTTTGTTCTTCTTGGGTTTGTTGAGTCGTTTGAACGCTGCTACGTTATTCACGTGAACATCGTTTTTTCATATTTTTTGTTGCATTTTTTTGCCGAGATGGGTTATAGTAAATTTGTGACTGAAACGACATCGTCAAATAAAAAACAGTCATCGCAGACAAAAGGATGTTTAGAGGTGCCACACTCACGATCACACTACACCTTTATGCAATGAGTGAGCATAACGTGAAATGATACTCCATAATCCATCTTAACTATTTCATAGTGGATGCTAAAGACAAGATGCTCATCCACATCTATATCCTCAAATGTACACTTGATTTGCCTTTTCCACTCTTCAAAATCTCAATATCGATCAGCGAGTTACGTCATTTGCATCATTTCTCTCATCAACGAATCAGAAAAGTTATACATGATATGTAGAAAGGCAACAAAGATATTTCTCTTTTTTCGTTCGTTTTCACTCGTTCAAGTTAAATAATTACAGTGCACTTCAATTGGTTTTCCCCCTTTTGTTTTCTTTTGTTTTCATCACTAGACTTCTTTTATTTATTAACTTCCTATATATAGGAAGAAAGCCTAGAACGCGCTGCATCTTTCAATATATTTACGTTATATATCAAATGCAGTTTGAAGCATAAAAAATGTACTAGAAAAAAAGGTGACATTTTGTTTTTACTACATGGTGTCCTTAATGTTGTAACATTTTTTATTTTGCATATATCTCGGCTTAGATAAATGATAAAATCTTCAAATTTTTTTCCTAAAGATGCGCCATGAAAATCTCTATCAAGACTGCATAATTGAGTTCCTTCTTACCTGTTCTAGTGGTTTTTCTTACACTCAAAATGAACAAGCTACATTACAGTGTCACTCTCATCATATTGCAAATGTTTGGAACATTCTTTTGTTTTGCTTATATCTTGACTTGAGAAAATGATAGAATATTCAATTTTTTTAAAAAGATGCGCTACCGAAAGCTCTACACAAGCTGTATGGATTAATTTCTATGGCGAATCAAAAAAATCTTCCAAACATGTTCAATATGATGGGAAGTGACACTGTAATGTAGCTTGTTCATTTGGAATATAAGAAAAACCATTAGAACAGGTAAAAAGGAATCCATTCATGAAGTCTTGATAGAGCTTTTCACGGCGCATCTTTTGGAAAAAACTTCAAGATTTTATCATTTATCTAAGCCGAGATATATGCGAAATGAAAAATGTTACAATATTATGGGCACTCCGTATTGTAGAAAAAAAAATGTCGCATTTTTTCTAATACACTATTTTAACCTTCAAGCTACATTTGTTGTTCAACGTAAATATACCGAAAGATGCAGCGCGTTCTGGGCTTTCTTCCTATCTATAGAAAGTTAATAAATAAAAGAAGTCTAGTGATGAAAACAAAAGGGAGAAAATCAATTGAGGTGCACTGTAGTTTATCAATTTCACAAGAAAAACAAATCAATTAGTCAATTCCGATTCTGACTTTGATTAAAATTCTTCGTAGCTAAGTCCAAACGAAAATCTTCATTCAACAAATATATAAGATCTTCTAAACCTTGCAGTAATTGTCTAAAATTTAAAAACTTACTACTATTGAAAACTTGCACCCTCTTCATATTGCAGTAGTTGTCTAAAGCTGAAAAAAAACTAGCTGCTGAAAACAGCTAACGTTCTTTACAATTTGCAACAAACGTAGTTAAAAAAAATAATTTTTTATTAAAATCTTTTTAAAAAAAATTATTTTCAATGTATACTCAAAATAAAAAAAATTTCAAAAAGTGCACTTTAAATGTCAACTGTTGCACAACAAATTTATAAAATTATTAGCTGTAAATCAAATGAAACTTTAAAAGTTTTAATTTGCTTAAAATTTATCTTGTTTATGTTCGCAAATGACAAGTAGCCGTGCATCAGACATCATGTTGACAATTAAATGGTTTCGAAGTTTGCTTACAAAATCGGAAAAAAATATTTTTAGACCATACAAATAAATCATACTACTTGTTCTTGGTTGTATGAAAGAAAACCAATAACGCTTATTGATAAAGATATTTCCAATAAATTGTCATGCGCTATAAGTATATTTCACTGCATTACTTCCTATCTCGATTAAAAGAGTCGTGATATCTGATGTTGACTTATTCGACTACATTGACGTTTCTTTTCGTAATTTCAGCCTACGCTCTTCAAGTCATTATATGGGTGTATTGGCATACCTATA